ACGGCTGGCCTGTGGGTCACAGGGCATAGCTCCCGCACTGGCAGCCGAGGGGGCTTGGATTTGGGGAAGAAACGCTCGAAGGTTTCGTCATCACTGAAGGAGATGAAGGTACGGGAGCACTTCCCAGATGAAGCCGGGGCAGGAGTAGCATCAGCTTGTTGGGGGTCTTGGTCCAGCCTAGAAGAGTCATAATCAGCACCCAGGAGACCCCTGGGTGACCTCAGCTGCCAAACCTGCTTGAGCTGTCCCCCAGGACTGGAATTTACGATTTGGGGGGATTCAAGGTGCTGCCCAAAACCCTTCCCACAGGCAGATAGGGCCTGGGGAGGGATTGAGGTTGGGATACAGTGATAGAGCACGGGGGCAAAATCACCAAGGTCACATCGAGATGACCCCACTCACCCCTCCACATCCACATTCTCCTCCTTGCCAGGCTCTGGCACCAGTGGCATTGTGACGGACCAGTACCGGATCACAGGCCCCACACACTTCCTTTTCTTCTGCACCTGCTTCTTCTTGTCAGCTTCCAGGCGCTCATAGTTCTCTGTGAAAGCAGGAACAGATCAAGGGGGAAGCTCAGTGCCTCACTAACCCCCTCCCAGTGCTGGTCCAGGGGTCCCTGTCACCCCCACGCCGGCTCACCCAGGGAGCGCAGGTTGATCTCCTCCGTGATTTTGGCCTCTTCCAGCAGCTCCTCCTGGGTCAGGGGTCGGTCGTAGTTGGGGCCTCCCTTCTTCCTCTTGGACTGCACCTGCCGCTCCTGCAGCCGCAAAAACGTCTGTCGCGTGTGCTCCGTCGTCGACTGCCGCATGTGCTTCCGGCCTGCATGGGGACAGGGATCAGAGCTCCCCAGGACCCCATTCTCAGCCCATCCCATCCCACACACTCACTGTCTCCCACATCCTCCTGCAGCTCCAGGGGGATGGATTTCACCTCCCGTGGTTTCTGGGAGCCACCTCGAGACACATCCTTCTTGGGGCGAAGGCTTTTCAGAGGCTCCTGCGGGACAGGGCAGAGCGCATGAGTGAGGAGGTAGAAGAACTCCCCCCGAACCATGGATTTGGCCCTGTTTAACCATTTTTCCTGGGAAAGAACCCTGGAGTTTCCCCGGAGTCCCTCCTGGAGCTCCTCGCACCCGGTAGGCCTTGGTGAGGACGCGTCGGCGCCGCCGTGGCTCATCCTCATCCTGCTCACTGCCAGGCTCATCCCCCTCATCGATGTCGAAGTCCGAGTCCACCTCGTCATCGCTGTCCGACTGGTCCCCACGGTACTCGTCATCGCCAGACTCCTGTGGGCACGGGGTCACACCGGGGGAGGTCACACCGGGGGTAGGGTCAAACCGGGGGTCT